ACCAATGACGCCACGCTCTAGCAAGTCAGTAAGGGTCTAAATGTCCTGAAATCCCTTTAAAATAATCTGCAACGACTGCAGACGAGGCCTGAATACTGGCATTTGAATTTCAGCTTGCAACAGGGCGTCGTTTTCCATCAGTGTCAAACTAGTTGACAGTTTGAGAGTGACGAGTGACAATGTCCGCCTTGTACTCCGCAGCACAGTGGGCGAAGGGGCGGTGCCTTTCGTGTGAATTAGTTTATAGTTGTTGTAGCCTTGCACTGAATCTACCAAACTCCCCCCTCCCCCACCCACCAGAGTCTGTTTTCAGGAAAACCTGAGGCGGAAAGGGGTGCAACATCCCATCTACGTATGCCACACAACCTACGCCCTGAAAACACACAAGGTTTCCACACAAAAGAGGTGGACTGCAGGGATCTCACGTGCACTAAAATATCGAAAGAGCCACATGCAGAAGGAGCGGAGGAGTGCGCTTCTCACCTAAGTAAGATATGTCTATTCCTTGGCCGCCGTGGGTGATGTGCGGCAAGTTTGGGTGTGATGTGTATTGGTGGAGGGATGTTTGATAAGGGGGTTCGGTTAGTCGTGGTTTTGCAACAGATTTCCGCAGGGGGTAAATGCCCGAGAAGGCCCATTTGGTAAGGGAATGTCTATAGGCAACGCGAGCGCGGGGCGGGTGCTGCGGATGCGTGTCGGGACTGGATTCGCAAGTGACCGACCAGGTCGATGCGTCATGCGTATATGCGAATGCTACCAGAGGAGGTTGGGATCGTGTCCACGCTGGTAATGGTGATGGTTGACGGGGATTTGGGAGTATTCTCAGTGGTGTTGGGAGTAGGAGTTGGCGGGTAGTTGGCTGGAGGGTTCGTGTATTAACGATGGGGGCCGTGGAAGGCGGCAGCAAGGCACCGGAAGTCACCACCAGACGGTGGTGGTCGTCGTGTGCATCGTGAGATTTTCAGCAGGTGTGACGATGGAGGCGTATGTGACGGCGAGAGGGTATTTCGTCTAAAAACCATTCAGGTTCCCATTTAATTTCCGCGGAAGAATCTCGGTGTTTAAATAAAGAGCAATGTGAGTCCCTTATTGCATGGCGTCAAGGCTGCAATAGCGTCGTGTTGAATTTTGTGACACTTTCATTCGACTTAAATTTAAATGTGACACATAGGCGTGGCGGATGTCTAACGGAAGAAAAAATGTCCTGAGGAAGTATGACCTCGGACAGCAAAGGTTGTAAATGGTCTTAAATACTGTCCTTATCTAAAAAGACTAAGGGACTTAACGAATTTTCTCTATGTTGCAGGCAACAGAAAGGTAGTCCTACAATGGTTTGAAAGATAGGGCAAGGCCTTTAAAAGTACCACATTCTATGGACATGTTTCAGCAGCGGCTTTAGCCTCAACTTTGTGGCATTTAACGAAGGTGCACACAATATGTCCAGAATGATTCCTCACTCTGAGTTCTTCGGACAACGGGTGGAAGAATAATAGAAGGACCCCCCTCCCCGAATGTGTTGTTACGGCCGCGTCCCAGCAGCCGTTCTAGAAACACCCGAATAGTTATATGACCCCTTGTTTTCTCACGAAATATTTCATTTTAACCGAAAACCATGTTAACTCCACACAAAAATGCACCCCAAAGATCGAGCCACTTGAATTACACGAACACTATTTTAGTAGTGATAATTACTCAGAATGCATGCGCGTCGACTTGTACAAAATAAGGTTTTAGAAGGATGGGCACATTGCTCCTAATAAATAAACAGATAAGCTGAAGCAAAAACTCTCTCGGATGTACCGGTCATTGGGAATGGCTGTCTTTAAAATATGCAGAAGACTTTCAGGTGGGCGACCACTAGATTTTGTCGAAAGACTCACTCATGCCGCGCATTATGAAATCTGGGTGGTCCATTTCTGTAGTAAGAAAACTGGTGATTTCCATACCTTCAGGTCTCTTTCGTGGTTATACTCGATCACACCTGTGAGAGATTGCGTGTCTCCTCTGTGCTCACTGGAACCCGAGCATGATTTTTACATGTTTAATAACGTTAGAAACACTCCATCTGGCATAGTTCGTTTTCATGATTTCTCATTACTTTCACGAAATAGGGCATCCGAGTGTTTACTTCCTCAGTATCTACTCATTTTTGATATTCCAGCCTACAATGACGTACACTGACGGAAAACGTAGGTTGAGTTAAAGGGAAATCAACAACATGTGGTAGAAACACAAAGCACGTATGCCACACCATAGTCAGGGAATAGCTGCACCACCTCCGAATGCGTGCTGTCACAAGGCGACCAAAAAGGGCGAGCAAAGCGCGAAGGGAGATCGTAATACGGACAGATGATTATATGTCATAGCATAACTCTTGCGAAATTTAGTCAGTAGCAGCTCCAGCTGACGTTGGATGTAATTAGGTATCCACTTCTGGGACCGTTGATGTGATTTAGTAAGTGTTTGAGGTAACGGTGTACGTAGTGTTGCACAATGTGCTAAGCTGAATAAGCTAAGCTAAATACAAGATCTTCAGAAAATCTACACATATTTAAGAGAAGGCTACGCCTTTATCTGAATACTGACTCGAGTAAACTTTTATTTTCCTCATCCTTCCCAGACAACGTTTCTATGACACTGAGAAAGGGCCACAGGGAATTTAGTATGACGCCATTAAATTTCCCTATCTGTTCACATTTCCTTCATTTATGGGTAGTTTGGCTTCCTAAGATCCCTCACCAGAAATGTTAATTTTTCCAATTTTTCAGTTCATGCATCGTGCCCTCACAGAATGCGCTCCATCGATGCTCTTGGCGAAAGCTTCTGCATTCGCCATATAGTAGTCTGGTCGCATCTCCCTTGCCCAATCCTCGGATGGACTCGGATGAATGTAACCGAACGCATCTGGGTTCCTATCGCCTCCAGACTGGTTTTCAATTTCGCCACTTATTTGCCTTATTCAAGGCCACATACAGGCCAGTCCTGACTGACCCGCCTACTTACCCCTTCATGAAATCCGTTATACAATGCCATATACAGCTGACATTTATTTCGGCCCTGTTGATGTCCGACTATAATCCATTCTATACCGCCACATGCAGGCCAGTCCTGCCCGCATTTTTCTGATTCTAGTTTTTCGAGGGTTTCTTTTCTCCTGTAAAATCAGTCAAATCATTTTCAAATTTTCAAATTGAGTTTTTTTACCCCTCGCTTATCATTATTCTTAACGGACTTCTAATCTCAAAAACTATGTATTGCACTTTGTACAGATTTTGCCTACCTCGTCTAAAATTTGCATGTAAATTTATTTTTACTTGCTTTGGTGGGACTCCGAGGGGTCTTTACCAAAATTATTATTATTATTATTATTATTATTATTATTATTATCTCTTTAAACCTTACTTCTTATTTCGCCTTCAGTGATGGTTGTTTAACAAAATTTTAACTTTTATTCAGCAGGTAATTTCGGTACACTTAGCATACCTCGGTTTCGTAATATTGCCAGAATAGCAAAAATGTATCTCATTATTCGAGGAAACACTATTGTCCTTTATAGTCATATTACAGATTTCAGTAAACCATTTGCCCCCTAATTATGGTTTTGGGTATAAAGTTAATCCGTGATTATCCCTTTAATTTGTAGAGGAATTTGGTCCATACAGACGTCCAGCGGGACGTCTTCTCGCAGAGGGTTGTTGGAGCACTGAACAGACTCCCCGACGCAATGGTCCCTTAGGAAACTGTTGAAGCATTTAAATGAAAACTGGATACTCATTTGCACGGGGACTACTGTATACATTATCAAGATTGTAAAAGTGGCGGCAGTTTGCGCCTGGCTCACAGATACGGATAACTTTGCAATCTCCATAATTATTGTCAAATAATTAATTCTTCTGCTGTTTTCGAATATGAATACGTAACTCAAAGACGAAATTATGATTGCCCTAATAAAGTGACTTAAGGTGACGTTCACTGACCCGTTATGTGGGGCCTTTATATCCTCAAAAATTGTCAGCGATCAAAAGATACCTGCATCAGCCGTCAGGACAAGTAATGAACGCTTCGATATTTAGACGAATGCTCACTATATCGTAAAAGAGAACCGACTTATTGGGTTTAGAAATTGTGACAGGCCGCATCTTAAATAGTGGTTACAGGTTCGGCCATCATATTGCATTTTGGGAACTCAGGTTTTAGAAAATAAGTTCAGCACCAAAAGATCAAGATTTGCAGGCTCACTTCAAAAGATACTCAAAATAGGTTTCCGGAAAGTAACTAAACGTTATTTTCTCATGCATTACGACAAACTGCACATGAGGAGGACTCAGAGAAAGAATAAACAAAGACACCTGCTGTGAGTTTAAAACCCATGGACCATTCAATCTGCGGCCATATTTTCAGAAGTATCTAGGTATCACTGGAGAATATTTGACCCCATGAGGATCTCAAGCCGAATCAAGAACACTAAGATCTCATTTAGCCCACCTTCCAAATTGGCCTAAAAGTTGGTAGGCAGTGTTGCATATCTTCCTCTAATCTTGCCCATATTAACAAGCCACTTTTTACGAGAGTAACCAGCTAACATTTTTTAAAGTCCCATTTTCGACTCCCGAGCCACAAACAATGCTTCACTGTATTTATTTCACATTCATTGTCCATACTCATACCTATGTGTTTTTCATATAATACCGGTGTGTTCGTGGATTTATCCTGAAATCCCGAACGGTGTTGCTTTTGGCTGGATAAGTTTTCGCTCTTCGCTATCCCTGCTGCATTTCCGACAGTCGTTCCAATGTCTAATTTGGGTTCTGCGCCATTAACAATCCATACAAACGGGCATCTTACTATTTATTGAATTCTGAACCCGGTGTCCATTTCATTAACACTGAACCTGCTGAAATTTATTCTGACCTTGAACTGGCGGTCGCGTGTTTGTTTGTGCTATCCCCGAAAGGCTCACTTTGCAAATTTCTAGTGGTCGTGTGCGTGCCTTATCGAAAATGCAGAACGAAGCCGGAGAGTTTGTTGATATGTATGTGCCAAGGCGTTGCGATGTCAGCAATCAGTTGATCGGCGCCAAAGATCATGCATCCATTTCCATCCGACTCGCCGAAGTCGATCACAACACTGGTCGTATGACTGGAAAGTGCAAGACATTCAATATCTCCGGCCAGGTCCGCGCTATGGTAATTGCTGCATTTGTTTTCTGACGGTTTCTAGGGTGAATGTGACGATTCCCTTAATAGGTTAGCAGTAAAGGCCAAGATGCTACCCAAGTACGCAATATTCTTTACGATTCCTAACTGGAACCATTTTTTAGGGACTTCTGCGAATAAAATTCCCTGTTTTTCGGAGAATAAATGGCTGCTTCTGGCAAAGTCTTTTGTTTCAAGCATCTAGTCAGCTTTTCATTGCCACATCGGACGCGTCATCTCAAGTTTTCGTTATATCTCTTGGGAGCTCACTCACATGGTTCTATGTGGTTTGTTTGTGGTGATCAGCGAAGTCGTCGCAAGCCCATGTTGTTCGTGCTTTCTCTTTCTATAGGCTCCATCGTCTCAGAGCGTTGTTTCAAGATAGGGATTGACTGCTTCAGGCATAATTCCCGAGTAGGCGTTCACTGTCTCTATTGTTATTTGTGCACCCTTCGCTGGTTTATGTCTTGCTGCCACGATCACACCTCTGTGTAATCAATTGACTTACATACCAGTAGCCCACAGAATGACTTAATTAATATTCTTTACTGCATGCTGTCGCCGTGTTACTATCGACCAACTTTCCTCTGTCGAGGAACCAGCTTCTCCTGCGGAATATTTGACTTTATTTCGACTATGTAATCAACTGGGATGCATTTGCCAGCGAACACATTGCCGCGAGTCGTTCTATTCTGAATTTACACTGTTTCCTCTGGTTTACGGCTTCCGTTTCTGGTCCGGCTTTATGATATAAGTATCAAGGGTGTATGTTTATCCTTTTGGATCATAAAGGGCAAACATTCTCCCAGTCTTCCAACGGTTAGCTTTCGGTGTAACTAACTGGGTTAGGACTGTCGGCGATGCCTCCCGGTCATCTCCCGCCTGTATTGTACCCTTACAGTATCAACTACTGCGCTTTCATTGTGTTTCTTCGCGACTGTTTGTAGGCGTGGGTCGGGTTGTCGTATTTGTTCAATTCGAAGTCTTGATTATCCTCAATAGCGCGGGCTGCGATGTTTTGGAAAGTGTTTGCTCTCTCGCTGTCGAGGTAAAGCTAAAGTATGCTCCCAAAGGTAGGAGAACCTTAAAATATCGGTTATAATCCTATTTACTCACCCTTGAGGTCCACAGTCTTCCCTTTTGATCGCCGACGGCGCCATTGCCAATCGTGATCTCACGTGCATAGTAAAGAAATCCCGACATGTCTGCTTTTCCCACTCATGCATGCCCATAGTCATCTCAAGCGCTTCCAACCGCGCCATCCGTAGTGGTTTAAAATACTTCCAATAGTTAGGAAACCCAGCCGTTTTCGTCATTCGTTCCCGAAGTACCGTTCATACCTTTTGGAGTCGTGCCAAATCTCAGGGCTGATTACAATCAATCAAATACTGACATTAGTTCATCTCACCATTTCTGCAATATTGCCCACAGGACCATGTTTGCGTAGAGAGGTATGTACTGTCGGCCACAAATATTTAGTTTTTTTTTGCGTTTAAGCTATCTAAGTCGCGTTCTATACATGCATGGTGGCGCCTAGCTAGGTAACTGGGGAATACTAGAAACCCCGACTGAAACATCTGTCGACGACACCATTCGCTCGTTATTGGCGACCTTTTGTATCCACCACTTTGTCTGTCTTGTTTTTTTTCACACCGTCAGCACATAAGTCCTCAATACATCTTTGGATTGAGTGGTAGCGGCATTTAGATGACCATAATTGATGGCTAGAAGTCATCGTTGAGATTGACGAAAGTTGACTTGTCCGTCTACGTTCGGTAGCTAGTACTGTTTTTAGAAATTTATATACTGTCTACACTCGGGAGTTCGAGGAGTACTGTACGCAAACCTACAGGTATCCGTGCAGTTCTGCACACGTCAACTACACCTGTACTGACATGATGCAAAGGCTTTAACATTGACCCAGGTAGTTTGATCGGCTTAGGCCCTACGAAATCAGGGACGGTGACGCGCGTAAATTAGTTTATAGTGACAGTAGACGTTCGCTGCGTTTGCCTCCATCTCCCCTTCCCCACCTGGGTTCGACATCGAGACATTTAATAAGGCCGGGGATGGAGGAGGGCGTAGGTGGCCGGGACTACCCCTAGGCGGGCCGACACGCCCGGCTCGGATCCCAAGAGGTGTGAGCGCCACGGAGGCCACATTAAGAAGGATTAATTGCAGCTCGACGTTCAGTCGGCCATCCCACAGACACATTATGCTGACTGCGAGGTACGATTTATGCCTTCAGTTGGCAATCTTCCAAGTCACGATTTTTTGCGCTCTGTAGTGGATGACAGCTCTTCAGATTGTTTATAGTGAGAAACATGCGCCGGAACCGCTCACCTAGCTCTTTTCCCACTGTTCGGACAGGTCAGATGTCTGATGTTGGAAGTGAGCGCAACGGCTGACAGCCCAAGGTCCCGTGTGCCGCGCCACATGGACGACCTGGCCCCCAAACACACCACGATTTCACGCACGGGGGCGATAGTACGCCCGAATTTCACATGCAGCAGGGGAGCCACACGGAGAAAGAAGCCGAACAGCACACTTCCACCTACATGAAATGTGCCAGTGGTGCGGGATTTTGGAGGGGCGTATGGGTGGTGCACGTGTTAGTGAGGAATGTGTGGTGTGGTCGTGTCTGCAGTGTTTTGTCTCGGGTCTTCACAGGGGCGCATGTGACCTAGTAGGCTCGTGCGATGAATGAATGGGCGTAGACAATATCGAGAAGTTGGGGCAGGTGCGGCTAGTGTATGCCAATGCTCCTGGCGCTGGGTCGCCAGTCTGCGGTGGACCCGCAGTTGACCGGCCAGGCCGATGCGTGACGTACGCGTGCGGTGGCAGCGTGGACACTATGGGTTCGGGGCTGTAGAATCGGATGGGTTGAGGCTGTTAGCCGTGTTCGTGTCGGTAGATGGGGAGTTGTTTGTGCCGGAGACGAGAGCGTTTTCGGTTGCGCAGCGTGTGTTGGACGCGCCAATATTGCGCTGAGCTCAGTTTTTGTGGGTGCGCATATGACCGAATAGGCTCATGGGCTAGTGGATGTGTGTGGACAGTGGAGGCAGATGCGACGGGTGTATGTCAGGGCTCTCAGCACTGCAGTGTCGGCCACAGTGCGATGAATTCGTATGTGACCTACCAGGCTCATGCGAGAAGTGAATGTGTGATCGGAATGGGACAGGTTAGGATCGAGTCCTTGTCGCTGGAGGTGTGGGTGGTAAAGGTGTTAGTGATTGACGGGGTGTCAAGAGCGTTTCGGTCGGTGGCAAGGGGTGGAAGAAATGGTTGTAGTGTCGTCGCCACGGTGATTGTGGCAGAGATGATGGAAGTGGCGGTAAGGCACGGGGATTCGGATCAACGGCAGTGAAGGTGGGTGCCCTCGTGGATTTCGTGCTGGCTGGAGCAGGGGCGGTCCTGGAGACAGTAGTTGTGGCCGTCGGGCGGTCAGTGCACTAGGTCCGAAGACAATCGACGAGGCCGATTCGCTCGCGGAATGTTTGTCGACAGCGCGGGCGCGTTTGGTGGGGTTGAGTGGCTTTGTTGCGGGTCAGGGGCGCCAGAGACTTGCGGGCTTCTCTCTTGGCTTTGGCGGCGGTCTGATTCGCTTCCTAGATCGCCGGGTCAGTCAGTGCTTTCTTCCTGGCCAGTTTGTTCTGTACGAGGCACTCTTAGGTCTCGGGGTTGATATGCAGAGTTCTTCAAAGTGTCTTTGAAGCGTCGCTTTTGTCCTCTCTTTCGCGGAACACCCGTAGCAACATCTCCGTGGAAATGTCGTGTGGGTAATCGTGTATCGTCCATTCTCACTAGGTGACCGCACCATCGCGGTTGCAGTTGCCTCAGCAAGGCGCGGATACGGAGAATTGCGTTCCGTCCCAGGACTTCCGTGTCCGGGGTCTTGCTCTACCACCTCAGCTTTAGTATTCTTCGAAAGCAGCTGAAATGGAAGTAGGTGAGCTTCCTGAAATGGCTGGGTTAGGTGGTCCAGTCCTCCGCTCCGTACAGAAGTGTCGCCAGGACGGTGGCCTTGTGCATTTCCAGCTTGGTGCTCAAGTGCAACCTGCGAGGGTTCCATACGGGATTCTGCAACCGGCCGAAGGCTGACCTGGCTTTGGAAATCAGATAAGCTCTTCCCTTGTCGATCTTGATGCAGCGTGAGTGTGGAGGCTACATAAACGAAGTTGTCCGCGGTCTTTTGTTCGGTGCTGTTGACGTGGATGCGAGGAACAGTGTATAGAGCGACGGGTGGCGATTGGTGCATAACTACCGTTTTGTCCGTATTTGTGGTTAGTCCGATGTTGGCACACCCGGCGTCAGCGTCTGACACGCTATTGAGCGCACAGCCAACTGCATGGGTCTGGTCGTGACTGTAGTCGCGAGGGGACAGGTCGAAACGTGCATGCGCTGGCTGTTGAAATGCACATCGGTCCTGCGGGCGGTGCGGCGCCCATCGCGGTAGACATCCATCGGCCTGGTGGGAAACATGAGGCCGAAGAGGGTAGGGGCGAGTGCGCGGCCCTGCCTCACACCGTTTGCTGCAAATGCCTCAGCTGGCGGGCGGCAAAGATGGTGTCGGTCGTCCCGCGCTGACGGCGGGAGCCGCACTGGCTTTCCGCACGAAGTCCTTGCTCGAGATGAACATTGAGACGACAGAGAAAGATGCGAGCGAAGCCCTTTCCGGCGATGTTAAGCAGCGAGATTCCTCCGTAGTTATCGCCTAGTTGCCGGTTACCTTTGCACTTGCAGTCCTAAGTAACTTGTCCCCGGAGCCACATCTGGAATACCGCCGTGAATTGATCTGTGAGCTGAGGGTCGCCGTGTTTGTAGACCTAGGCCGGAATCGCGTTAGATTCCAGAACTTTCCCACTGGACGGTTGGTGCACGATGCAGATTGTTTTCTGGGAGAGAAGGCTGCGGATCCAGGTCGTCATTCATTCCGACTTGTGGTAGTCGGTCGACGGCGGCGTCGGAGATTGTAGAAGGGCGGTTGAGACCCAGCGCTTCAGAATTTGCGACTTCTGCGTCAGTAGCTTCGTTCCATCGAAGCTGAGATGTGGCGTAGTTCCCTTAATTAGGGAGCTGTATATCGCCTTGAGTAGTGCGAAGAAGTTCTTGAGTTCAGTGCGGACGGCATACCCTCGGAC